GTATTGAACTTAATATCTTAAATAGAACTTATTGTTATTGCAAAAATGATAGGTACAATATGGTGGATCAAGGTCTGGTTGAAGAGAAGGTATTTTCTTTCTGGTTTAACCGTGACCCTGAGGCAGAAGTGGGAGGTGAATTAGTTCTTGGGGGAGTTGATCCGGATCACTTCAAAGGAAATCACAGTTATGTCCCTGTGACAGAAAAGGGGTACTGGCAGGTATGTGAACAAAATAAGATTACTTAAAATGTAATGAAATTTTTGTTTCACTTCATGCTCTTGTTTATTTTTCATGTTTTCTGCTCACCTGTTCATATATATAATTTTTTTCTTTATCAGTTTGAAATGGGTGATTTCCTCGTTGGGAATCAGTCGACTGGTAAGTTATGCATCATGATTGTTCTAGAATATCAAGTTTTTCTTGTTGGGTTTGAAATTTGTCTGAATTCTCTTATCTGTAAACTTCATCAGGTTTTTGTGAGGGTGGTTGTGCTGCTATTGTTGATTCTGGAACATCCTTGCTTACTGGTCCAACTGTATGTGTCCACATTTTTACTGTTTGGTTCATTCTCACAAGGATAGCTCGAGCTTTCTTCAGATGTAGCATTTTTCTTTAAAATATTGATATATTCTGAATTACCTATAATGTCAGACTATTGTCACGCAAATCAATCATGCCATTGGGGCAGAAGGCGTTGTCAGCACCGAATGTAAAGAAATTGTCTCTCAATATGGAGAGATGATTTGGGACCTCCTCGTTGCTGGGGTATTTCTCTCTCTCTCTCTCTCTCTCTCTCTCTCTCTCTCTCTCTTTCTAACTGTTCCTCTTTTTAGTTTGTTTTTTCCCCTTGAACCATGTTATGTGCCTAAAAATAAAAAGAACGCTGTTCCTCTCTGCAGGTAAATCCTGATCAAGTTTGTTCACAAGTAGGACTATGTTTTTCTGATGGGGCCCAGTCTTTGAGGTCTGACCACTTTAAATTTCCTGGTTTTTTTATTCGTCTAGTTGTGATATTTGATTGTGGATTTTTGCTTAATGTTAGGGCCTGAAACAACTCTAGTATCTGATCTCTATCTTTAATGTCTATACTTTTAAATAAATATAGCTGAAAAAGTATAGCTGTTATTGAACCTTTGTAATTCTTTCAAGTCCCTGATTTGACCTTTGAGCTACCTAAACATGTACTGAGTATTTCCAAAGATAGGCTTACTTTTTTCGTCGAACCAGATGAATAAAAAAATCTCAATGAGACAGCAGCTTAATGTTTCTCCTTCAATGACGCATGTCGATACCCAACATCGTCATTTGATCCTTTAGGTTTGTCCTGGGTAGAATATTTAACTCAAGAAGCTGATAATTTGACGCGATTCATTGCAGCTCAAATCTTGAAATGGTTGTGGATAAGGACAATGAGGGAAAATCAGTTGGAGACAATCCATTATGCAGTGCTTGTGAGATGGCTGTTGTTTGGATGAAGAATCAGCTGAAGAATGAAGGAGTTAAGGATAAAGTGTTGGATTACGTGAATAAGGTGCTCTTAATAACTCGCATAAAATTCCTCCTTATAAAGCGAAATATATCTTCCTTCTTTATTGGAAAATGCGTGAAATTTTTTTTGTGTTGAAACATGATTTTTGTTGCTTGGTAGTTATGTGAGAGCATACCGAGTCCAGGAGGAGAGTCCATAATTGATTGCAATGCCATATCAAACATGCCTAATGTTACCTTTACAATTGGAGGGAAAACGTATGATCTCTCTCCAGAACAGGTTCGAATATCATTTAATTACTGTTAGAATACATCCAGTTTAAGTTTTTCAACAAGTCATTAATTTGTTACCAACTGGATGTACGAGTGTGCTTAGTTCTAATCTCTCACCTAAAACTGAGATAGACATAGTATCAACAAAAAAATACTTTTATCATATTTTGGTCCTGTCAAATATTCAACGGTTAGCATTTATTTATTTATATCCCTGAAGCTGTGAAATGTTTTCTACCTAATGTGATAACACTGCATGCCTTGTCTAATCTTTCTTTAAGGATTATAGAGAAGGAATCTGTTTTCTATATGTGTATATATATCCATTACGCAGTGACTCACGAGTTTGGAATATACCCCTTTTTCTGAATTGTTTTTATTATTTGGCAGTACATTCTAAAAACTGGTGAAGGCATTGCAGCTATTTGCATAAGTGGCTTCATGGCTTTGGATGTGCCACCTCCTCGAGGACCCTTGTGGTACGTGCAATATATCCTTGTTCCCGATTTCTAGGAATGGCCTCTATTTTGAAAAATGAAAAAAGAAAGAAGGAAAAAAGCACCTGCAAAAGTTAGTCGTTCTAATCAATTCTCGGTATTTGGTCGGAAAATTGGAGAAAATTCTCATTAAAATTTGCTTATCTAGCTTTCATGTCCATTAAATTGGCAAATCTCACAATTGCTCTGTTGTTTACCATCTTCTGGAATAATTTATTCCAAATGATTGAAATTTTTTCCGTCCACTCAGCGCTTTCTGAGCACGTTTCCCTTTAATAAGAGTCACTGGTTTTGGCTAAGATTTAGAAATTCGGTTAAAAACCAGACACAATCTCCGAAAGATATTAAGTATGCTCGAAACTAAATAAGCGGGCTTGCAGGATTCTTGGAGATGTGTTCATGGGCGCATATCACACTGTATTCGACTATGGAAATCTTCGTCTGGGTTTTGCCGAGTCTGCTTGAACAAATTCATGTCTTTGTTCATTGTTGTTTCTGAGAAGGGCCAACGGGTTGTGTAATTATGTTATGTAAGGATGATAATATTAGCTGATGTACCTCATCCCCATGCATAGATGAGAGATTACATGTGTTATTATCTCTTTTCAATAGTACATGTGATGTATAAAATGTTGGGATTTCGGATGATGTTTTCATGTGATTAAGGCGTCATCATTGTATGATTTAACTGACTGTACTTGTTTCCTTGAGACAGGCTTGTTTGGTTGTTGTCGAATGACTTTATCCTAGGAAATTTTAAAAAATACTATCAGGTTATTCAAATAATATCTAAATTCTCCATTTCTATTCCAAAAAAGTCACAATTTGGAGTGCAACGCATGTGGTGATATATTTTTTTTATGGGCAAAATACTTAGGTCGAGTAATAACAATTATTTATTAATCATATTACTTGTATCCATTGAAAATCAAAAAAGAAAAAAAAAAAAAAGGATAGGAAGGCAGTTGCAATAGAAATTGCAGGTGAATAAGATCTAAGAGCACATAATAAGAACCTTAGTATCACGGCGGATCTAGAAAAATTTTTGGAGGGACTAGTTATTATTCAAATCAAAATGTCTGCGAACACAACTCGGTTTGACTCGTAAAAACTCGAACTAAGCTTGTTCTTATAATTAATTAAATGAACTAATCTCAAACACTTAATAGAATTTGTGTATTAACTGAGTTGGGTCTCACTTGTTTTTTAAATGAGTCAAGTCGAGCTGATTCATTTATCAATCAAACATGAGCTTGAACATGAGACATTTTTGCTTTACTCCACTTGAATAACACCTTTAGAGAGGATATGGAGTTTTTTTATAATACACACACATATAAGGCAGACAATTTATTTATATATTGAATAGATAAAATTAATAATAAAAATGCTATATTTTGATATTTTAAAATTTTGCTTGAGATTATTTTAGATCAAGATATGTGGTGTCTATATCACTACTAATGAAATTTTGCAGTTTTGTATGATTTAAATGAAATATTGTTGCTATATTTGTTGAGTTACAAACTCGGTCGCACCAATAAGCCTAAATGATGACACCAAGAAATTCATTCATATGTTTATTTTTAAGTCTTATTATTACAACGAGGAGTGACAAAGGTACAGTATTCCGGCATATCATGAGGAAGCACGTTAAGTCCTAACACGGAGAGGGAGTCTTAGTCTCATTGCATATTTGATAACAGGCCTCTCGGAAAGTATATGGGGTGCACAGGTTGAGGTTGCCTGATATATTAATGTATAGTAAATATGTTCTTTTATGATAATATGTGTTACATAAATTAACCTACCATTTACTTTAATTGTAATATACACAAAAATAAGAGTAACTGTAAAAATAAAATAAAATAACTAAAACTAGTAAAATTTTGAATTTCAAAATACATGTACTTAGAAAATAGTTACAATTAGAATCAACTAAACAAAAATAGATAGTATATTTGCTTTAAAATTGGTTTCATTATCCAATCTTATTTATAAAATCATTTATAAATTAAATGTTTCAAATCACTTCTCACAAGTAGGGAAAATAAACTATATATAAATATTGACGGAGATATAAAAATAATATTAAGATAAAAGTAAAATATGAAAGAATCATCATTTTATAATTCAATTAAATTAAAATTATTTATTTTTCCACATTTAAGATAGTCTTGAAAGTCCGTGAATAAAAATGATAATGCATGAATGTAAATGTTAGGAGATGCAACAATAATTTATCTTGGACAATATATATATCGATAGATGGATACCTTTGATTAATCATGGATGTTACTGTTCTTAATCTTTTTCAAGTACTTTTTCATAAATAATTAGGACTTTAAAGGAATTTTAATATTTACTTATCTCTTATGTCATTATATCCAAAGAGAAAATATATATCTAAGTATTATGGAATATTATACTTGCAAATATACTTAAATTTGCAATCACTTACAATCAAATTACTAGAGAACGAAATATTCAAACATAGTTGGTTAGTTTTCTAAGAAAATGATAGTTACAAATAATAGTTATAACAAGTTCAAGTTATTTTTCTAAGAGTATGACGCAAAAAGAAGACATTAAAAAGTTATATTATGATGGCAATTATAATGATATCAGTAAATAGAAAAACTAAAGACAACATAGATTTCTTTAGCATTTAAAAGTTCAACCCAGTGTTTTATTATTTAATCGAAATTGAAAAGATTAATTGACAACAGTCAAAATAGGCGCCCGCCAGAGATCACAGATTTTATTTATCATAGAGTTCGGTTAATATTAATAGATATTATATTTTATTATTCAATACATTTATTATTGTTTATTTTGAGATACACCGTTATTTTGTTATACAAATGGAAAGAAAATTATATTACACTATTAAATATAAATCTAATATAAAAATAATTTTAAGTAAAACAAAGCAACAATATCACATGCATTTTTTTTAATATATTAAAAATGTGTGCGTGTAGAGAGAGTACTTACACATTTGGATTATTGTTGAGGAGACATGTAAATGCGTCTAGAGGAAAACAACTGTTAAATGGTTATCTTGGAGCCTCCTATCCTCGCAAAGACATAGTAAGTATGCAATAGCATGAGCGGATAGCTTGGTTGCATGTTTCATTTATGTCTGTGAGCAAGTTAAGTAAGATTTTATCTGTGACATTCCGCAACAAGATAGTATTTTCGAAAACCAAGCTCGCACGACCTTTCGAAAATAAAAACAAAAATTTTACTCTGATTTTTTTTTTTAAAAAGCTAGTAAGGCGGGGTGCGACAATAAAAAATAAAATAAAATAAAATAAAATAATATTGAGGTTATTAAAAATTATTTAATTGTTTAACTTTTTTTTTCCAAAACGATAGGGGTAACTATTATAAAACTCAAGCGAACAAGGTTCGAATACAAAGTCATACAAATCCGACTAAATAAAACTGAGAGACACGCAAGAAGCGGTCTAGAGCCTCAACAAGCTAACTAAAATACCAAACCAAAATAAACCACAAACTAAAACTGACAGGAAAAAAGAAGAGTGAATACACCTGCCACTACCTTAAGGCCTAGCAAGGAGTACCACTTACATAAACCAGCAAAAGAAGAAGAAAGACCAAAGACAGAAAACTGAAAACACTAAGAAACTAAGGAGAATGCCATCCATTCTGAATGAGCCAATTTGATGAGAGTGTGTTCTGGGATTAAAGAGTGTTGGAAGATCCACAAGTTCCTTGACTTCCGAAGCCACCAAATTTTGTATGTTGTAAGTTGGATTCTTGCCTCGGCCACCTCAGAATGATCAAGGGAGCAGACTTGATACCACCAAGCCTTAAAAGAGTCTGTAAAGCCATTAAGACCATCCCATTGCAGAGGGCTCAACTTTCACACCCTACTAGCTCTTTGACATGAGAAAAACAAGTGCTCCACCTTTTCAGCTGCTTCACCACATATAGAACAGGTTGTGTCCAGGTCTATCCATCTCTTTTTCAAATGAGTTGCAACAGGTAGAGAATTTGAGATATGTTTCCACAAAAAATGCTTAATCTTACCAGCAATTTTTACCCTCTAGTGTCTGAATTTGATGGAGCTCTTGAGACCTGAGTTGGTGTTGCATGCAGGTAAGTCTGTGGAAAGCAGCCTGAGTGAGTTTAGGTGAGCATAGGTACTTGACACAGAGAATACACCTTTTTTATCTAATCCACAGTATACACTGTCTTGCCTTTGTGGATGAATTGGAGTGATTTTCAGAATAGCAGAACTATCAGGTTCATCAAAAACTTGTCTAATCAGCCATTCGTTCCAATGAGAGCCATTATTCTGAAATAATTCATTGACCCAAACCAAATGTCCTCTAGCAATAGAAATAAGATCAGGGGCAGGTTTACAGTGGTTAGGAATCCAGTTCAGATCAGAGATTTTTATATTTGAGCCATTCCACATATGAATCCTAAGCCATTTAGAAAATACAGGTAGCACATCCATCCAGCAGTTCCACATCCAAGACCCATTTGGGGTCTTAGAAGCACGGACAAGAGAGGAATTAGGAAAGTACCTTTCCTATAGAATCCTGCTGACAAAAAGATCAGGATTGGATGCTATCCTCCACAACTACTTGCAAATAAGAGCTTTATTGAAAGTTTGAAGGTCATGAAAGGCCAACCTACTCTTTTGGAAAGGAGAGGTGACTCCATTTTTTCCAGTGAATACCTTGAGAGTGTCCAGATCCTGATTTCCACCAGAACTTTGCACAAAGTCTTGCAATTTCTACACAGAGAGAGGCAGGCAAATTGAAACAAGCCATAGAGTACACTGGAAGAGCTTGGATGACAGCTTTAAGAAGTACTTCCTTCCCAGCAGGAGTGAGAAGTTTTGCTTTCCAAGAAGTTAACTTAGCTCTGACAGAGGTCAACAGGTACTCAAATACTTCCTTCTTTGATCTTCCAATTCCCAAAGGTAAGCCAAGATATCTGGTTGACCTGTGAGAAACAATGCTATTCAAAGTCCTGCAGATGGAGTTCTGGAGATGGAGAGGAGTGTTTCTGCTGAAGAATATAGCAGATTTCTGGAGATCTACTGCTTGGCCTGTGAAAAGTTTGTATTGCTCTAGAATGTTCATAAGAAACCCTGCTTGGTCAGAACCAGCTTTGCAGAAAAACAATGAGTCATCTGCAAAGAGTAAGTGAGAGAGCAGTGGACCATTTCTAGACAGTTTCATCCCTTTCAATTGACCAGAAGATATGGAATTGAGAGTGAGGATAGTAAGAACTTCAGCAACAATAAGGAACAGGTCTGGGGATAGAGGGTTCCCTTGCCTGATTCCTCTAGAAGGTGTCACATAACCACAAATAGATCCATTGACTTTGAAAGAGAAAGTAGCAGTAGACACACACAGCATAATAAGCTTCACAGAGTCAGAATGAAAACCCATCTGGAGCATGATCTTTTTGATGCAAATCCATTCAACACGGTTAAAGGCCTTAACAAGATCTAATTTGAGGGCCATGAAGTAATTAGAGCCAGAAGAATGCCTATTCAAGAAGTGAAAAGCCTCTTGGGCTATAATCACATTATCAGTAAGTTGTCTACCCACTAAAAAAGCAGCTTGATGATCACTGATACAGAATTTAAGGCAAGCTTTGAGTCTTTGAGCAAGAAGCTTTGAGATGACTTTGTAAACTGCACTACAAAGACTTATGGGCCTGAATTGAGTCATATAGTCTGGATTTGTGCATTTTGGTATCAATGAGACTACAGTGTGATTCCAGTATTTAAGCAAGGTACCTGATTGAAAGAAGCTTTTAACAGTACTCATGAAGTCTG